AAAAAAAAAAAAAAGAAGGGAAGGAAAAGAAAAGGAAAGGCAGGCCAGGTGGCTCAGGCCTGTAACCCTAGCACTCTGAGAGGCCGAGGCAGGTGGATACCCTGAGCTCAGGAGTGCAAGACCAACCTGAGCTAGAGTCAGACCCTGTCTCTAAAAAAAACTAGCTGGGTATGATGGTGGAGACCTGCAGTACCAGGTACTCAGGAGTCTGAGGCAGGAGGATCACTTGAGTCCAGGAGTTTGAGGTTGCTATGAGCTATGATGCACTCTATCCAGGGTGATAGCGAGACTATTTTTTTTTAAAGAGACAGAGTCTCATTTTGTTGCCCTCCGTAGAGTGCAATGGCATCACAACTCACAGCAATCTCAAATTCTTGGGCTTAAGTGATTCCTCTTGCTTCAGTCTCTCAAGTAGTTGGGAATACTGGTGTCCACCACAATGCCTGGCTATTTTGTTGTTGTTGCTGTTGTCATTGTTTAGCAGGCTGAGGCTGGGTTCAAACCTGCCAACCTCAGTGCATGTGGCCGGTGCCTTACTCACTAGCTACAGCCCCAAGCCAACAGTGAGACTCTTAACATCAAAATAAATAAATAGTAAAAATAAAGCCTGTGAAAATTAAAATTCCCAATGTCTAGAAAACAAAAAAGCAAAATAAGCAATAAATTGAGAAAAAATACTTGCAACTCCTATCAGACTATTGCTGACCTAAGAACATGTGGAAAAGCTGCTTGACCGCCCATGGTCCCAGTGCCGGTTAAAGCTCCGCCGACCTGTGGCTTCCGGATACACGGAAGCGCACCTTACCCCCGTCCCACAGTTGAAGATTCACCTGCAACACGCACAACCATTGTCTCTACCAGCCTAAAGGCGCCACAGAACCACCTTCGGTCCCGCAGACGAGCTAAACAAAGAGCGGCACCCGCCAATGGCATCCTACTCAGCTGCAGGAATAAGGAATGAATCTGCCTGTACTTCAGATTGCTTTCTATACTGGGTAACAAATTAGCACAAACTTGGCAGCTTAAAATACACAACGATGGTCTGAGTATTTTACCCAGGAGTTGGCATATGGCTGAGCCCTAAGAGGGGATCAAGCAGCTGGAATAAAGCTGCTATCTTACCTGAGGGGATCAAGCAGCTGGAATAAAGCTGCTATCTTACCTGAGGCTCCAGGTCCTTCTCAGCTTCCTTTATGCTGTGCAGTGGCAACTCCCAGCTCCTAGTGGCCAGCAGAGTGTCTCAGACCCACACACCATAATGTCCCCAGGGTCAGGCATCCTAGAACCACCCTAGAATCTTGCCACCATGTGCTGGACAGGTGAGTGTCCAGGGACTGACGAGAGCCCATAGTTGCATGTGGTGGGGTCCTCCTGCTCTGAAGCTGCTAGTACCTGAAATCTGGAATAACATTTACACTGCATGGTGCTCAGAAACCAAGTGTGCCTATAGGTGTTCCGACATCCGAGTCTCATTTTTCCCCCAGCCACAAGGCTTTGGCTTCCCTAGAAAAGCCTGCACGAAATTTAGAGCTTCCTGAGGCTGCAAGCACAACTGCCCACTGGGCTCTCCAGCTGTCTTGTAAGGAGTCTTCAGGCTCAAGAGGCATTAGAATGGGATCTGGGCCAACAATTCTGGTTGAAGAAAAGCATCACTGGACTGCAGGTCACCGGACACTGCAGGGAAGACTCACTCCCTGCTTCCTCTTGCTAGGGATTTCAGCTAATTTGAGGAGAACATAGGTTAGGAGCACAAGCTTGGGCTCTCAGTGCACAGCGCTGGACACTTCCCTGCATAACACAGGTTATGTGCATGTGCTGCAAGACCAGTGTGGCCCATGCTGACCCAGGTGCCCAGTCAGTCTGGCTTCTCCTTCCTGATGGGTTGTAGGGACCTACCAGTAACTAGCCTTCAGGGACCCTGCCACACCGCTGTGCTACCCCTATCTTCCTCACATTGGCATCACTCACTTGCAGGCACACCTGTCCCTGACATGGGACTGCAGTTAGCAGAAGCCCTTTCATCCAAGTGGGCTGTAGCTTGCTGCGCATGCAGGTAGAGGTCCACTGCTGCTGTCCTGCCCCCACTTGAAGAAACCCCGTAGTCTAGTCTCAAACCCTAACCCCCGCTGCTCCACAGGGAGGCCTCCCAAGATCCCTACAATGCTGCTCTTGGAAACCCACAGCCAGTTTCCTAGGCAGAGCACACATTCAAATTTTAGGTGGGAATGGGTAATGGGTGACGGGTGTGGGTAGGACGCCAGCCCCATATACCAATAGTGTTGAGTTCAAACCTGGCCCTGGCCAAACCGCAACAACAAAAATTTTAGGTGGGAAAAATGGTAGTCAACAGCCCCCCAAAGTGGGATCTGCTTC